ACTCCCACCCCTGTCCTGTCAGCAGCATATTCGATGTATCTTCACCACCCCTCCCCTTCTTCCATTCCTAGTTGTGTTTCAGAGGTTAGAAGAGAGAGAGCTCAGTGGTTTGATTTGTCATGATCCAAAGAGGTTTACATTTAAACAAACGTAAATGGAAGTTTAGCATTCATGTTTTTGCTTTTTGCCTTCTCTCTTTTACTTAAAAGTATTTTATCAAAAACAAAATATAAGTAAATAATTGTTCTATTCTAGGCTTATAATCAGCAGTCATCCAAAATGTCACCAATATTTTGGAAGATCTTTGCCATCTTTCTAAAAATCGTGGTTAAACATACGTAAAGTTTACCATCTTAGCCATTTTTAAGTGGTATTAAGTACCTCACATTGTTGTGCACCAGTCTCTAGAGCTCTTTTCATCCTGCAAGACTCAAATTCTATACTCATAGACAACTTCTCATTTCCCTCACCCTCCAGCCTCTATCTTCTCGTTAATACAGCAAGTGAAAATGGCAGTTGTATGCTCCTCTTAGATCTTATTTCAGGGCCTGTCAAATTTCCTTAGCCCCTGACCTGCAGTTTCCCTCATCGCTGGGATTTCAGCCTCCCTTCCCAGCTTCGTTGCCCGGGAACCCGTCCAGGCAGCTTGTTTCCAGCCATGCTTTCCACTCCCCGCGCATCCTGGGTACTTTCAAAATCTCTGACTATAGCTGGGGCCCCCCATGCCGTCACTATATTTTAGAGTTGCCTTTTTCCTTTTTTCTATCTACATCATACTTTAATTTTACAACTTAGGTCAATGTCTCCCCTTTAGTGAAGCCTGCAGGACTGGAATTAATAATTTCGCCTTCCAGTGTGCTTGTGTGGCGCTTGCTTGAACCTGTCTGTGAACTCTCACTTACTTCATTTTACGTGCAGCTGGTTTCTCATGCCGGCTTCCCCCTGTGGGTTTGCAGACTCCCTCAGGCCAAGCTTCACTCCTCTGCATTCCCAGATACTCTGCTCACCACTGCTGTCTGTGGGAAACATTTAAATACTGCTTCATTGATTCAACAAATATTTATTGAGCTCCCACTCTAGGCACTGGGGATATAGTGGAAAATAGGTATACACGGTCTCTGACCACGTGGGACTTGCTCTAGCAGGGGGGCCTGACAAAAAACAAAGCCAGGTGGGGAGAGCGATGGGCAGGGGTGCAGTCTTAGGTGGGATGTTCCGTTGGAAAGGACCTGGTGGCACACGACTGAGTGTCTCAGAGTAGGATACCTTTTTCAGTATTGCCTTTGACACACACATAGCAATAGTAAGTTATTTAATTACCATCAGAACTAAGGTATTAATGCCTAACAAATTGATCATGAGTATATTTTTTTATAAAATTAATTTAGGAGCTTCTACAAGCAACTGAATTTTTTTACCAAAAGCTCTAGAGACTATTAATGGAATTTAGCATTTGCCTATTAACTCAGAGTAAACATTTATTTTATGGTATGAATTAGAATATAAGGTTGAGTAAGCTAATAAAAATGGAAATTATTGGACAAAAATTTTCTGTTTTCAGTATTAGCTATCAGCTTTAATAATTAAGTAATTTTTGACTCTTTCCTTTCTCTCGTACCTGACATTACAATTTATTGTTAAATCCTGTTTTCTCTATCCCCAGATTATATCCATAATCTAACCACTTTCCTTCACCTTTAGCACTAACATCGTAATACAAGCTACCATTATCTCTCATCTAGATTTTTGTAGTCATCTTCCAAATTCCTGCTAGACATAGACAATTAGACTCTTCATACTCTGCCTGGTCGTAGACAGTTAGATTATGTTATGTATCATAAGCCTCCAGTGACATCCTCTCTCATACAAAGTGACAACCCAAGTTCTTCAAATGGTCTATGTGCTCTCCATGGTCTGGACCTGTGTCTCTGACTTCCTCTCCTACCATCTCCCCTGTCTAGTCTATTTCAACCACGCTTTCCTCCTTACTGCTTCTACAAGTTATTTAAGTGTGCTCCTGCCCCAGGACCTTTGTACTTGCTATTCCCTCAGCCATGTACACTCTTCCCTCAGATACATATTGTTAACTACAGTCCTTCCTTCAGTCTCAGATTACATGTTACCTTATTAGAGGAATCTTTTCCGATCACCCATATAAAATGGCTAAGCTGCCACCTCCTGTTTCCCTGCCCTGGCACTCCCCATCCCCGACCTTTCTTTTTTCTATTTTACACTTCTCGCCATCTGACATAATAAATACATACAACTATATGTTAATAACATATGCGATAATATAATTTTATATATACATATACAGTCATGTGCCACATTTTGGTCAATAATGGACAATATATATAACATTTTTACTGTACCTTTTCTGTGTTTAGATACACAAACACTTAACAAATGCTGTACAGGTTTGTCGCCTAGGAGCAGTAGTCTACACCATATAGCCTAGGTGTGTAGTAGGCTATCCCATCCCGGTTTGTGTGAGTATACTCTATCATGTTTACACAGCAACAAAATTGCCTAGCAATACCTTTCTCAGAATGTATCTCAGTTGTAAAGCAGTACATGACCGTGTGTGTGTGGTGTATATGTGTGTGTGTATATATATGTGATTTGTTGATTGTCTACCCCCTGCATATACCCATAAGGTCAATTTCTAGATGTCAAGGACTTTGTGTGATTTGTTCAGGCTCTATCCTCAATACCTAGCATAGTACCTGGCATCTTGTGGGTGTTCAATAAATCTTTATCTAACAAATGATTTAACTAAAGGACAAGATGTATAGATGTGAGCCTACATGTCAGGAAATACCATTCAGCAAACCTTGTGCTCAGTACTGCTCTCTGCCCAGGCACAGGCCCTGCTTTCGGGGAGCTCGCAGCCCAAGAGTGACCTGAGTATAGTTGAGCCAATAAAAACGTGCCGATCGGGTACAGGTGTGGCCATCCTCACTCTGCTCCGTAGGGGTCCCTAGTATGATGGCTGTTAATGTGTCCATCCTGCCGGCTCTAAAAGGGTTTATGCAGATGATCCACTTTGTTTATGAGCTTCCACTAGCGGAAAAGGCAGCACTGCTCTGGGTGGTTAGCCAAGAGCAACGCTCCCTGTGTCCTGTTTCTTCACAATTAAAATAAGCAGTGAGAAGGTAGAGAAAATAATATATGTAGACAGTCATAATTAAAGAATTGCCTTATTTTTAAATAATAATTTATGGCTTCTTTTTATGCAGTACATTTCTCAATTTTCTCTGACAATTCATTAGATAATTAGAAGTGACACGTAATGTTAAAAATCATTGTAGGTTATCATTCATTTACACTGTTCCCCATGAACCACAGACAAACAAAAACTGTGTTTGAGTTTGAACTCATTTACTTTGCTCAACCTATAATCGGGAACTAATGGGAAATAAAACGACCAAATATGGGTTGCCATGTGCCAGAACGCAGAGAAGCACTGGCCTGATAATCAATACCTTCGTGGTCCTGAAGCATGGAGACCTGGCCGCATCCCACCGTCAGATGGCTCTGAAATGTATTACAGTAGCAGAATGTAAAGTGCAATTTCACACTGTCTTTTCCCAAAACAATTTTAATATTTTATTTTTTATTTCAAATTTTTATTTGTTAACATTTTTATAGGAACTGAATTATTTTAAATTCAACTTAAAATAAATGCCCCAAATTCTAAGAACATCGAGTTCATCTCATGTTGACTTTCCTATTCATTATGACTCATAAATGGAACTTGATGTGTATATTCTATTTTAGGAGGTTTTGTTGTATGTGGAAACCTTTCTGACCTTAAAATGCTTGTTTAAGAAATTACTTCAGAAATGTATGTATTTTTTAAGTAAACTCTTTTTGAAGTATTACTTAAATACAGAAAAGTGCACAAACCATAAGAGTGTAGCTTGATAAATCTAAGAGTTCTGAATCTTTTCTCTATCTCATTTCAGACGCTAATATCTGGAGCTGTAGTAGAACAGCTTGACTTCCTACGAATCAGTGAGACGGAAGAGTAAGTCTCTTTGGGTTATTTAGTTATTGTGTTTCTTGCAATTACATTAGAAAAGCAGGAAATCTAAAACCTTTTCTTTTTATTTCCAGGCTTCCAGAATTTAAGAGTTTTGAGGAGCTAGAACTTCCCAAACATTCAAAAGTCAAACGTCAAAGCAGCACCCCTAATGCTCCTAAGCTGGAACAGCAACCAGAGATCAACATTACTGAGTGGAAAAACAAACCCACCCATGAAATTCTTCAAAAGCTGAATGTGAGGAAGATACAATTTCCACATGGCCCTAAGTGAGGTTGCCAGAGCAGGAACTCCCAGAGTCAGGCCAGATGTCTGTTTGTCTTCTCAGAGAAGGTAGCAATTAATCTGGAGGTGGATGGCCTGTCTCCACCTGGACAGTAATGAGAGGTTGTTCTCTTGGTCTGACGTTAGCATGGGTATCTCAGAGGTGCTTACGGAGTGCAGACGAATGGGTTGTCTTGGATATGAAAGTAATGTGTGAGCCATTAAAGAAATTAAGTCAATGGTAGTGCCTTTGGGTTCTCCAAATTTCTCCTTCCGTGCCCTGTCTCTCTTTCCCATTCCAGTCTTCTCTCCTACCCAGCATTTCGATCTAATGCTTGCTTTAAGTCTCCTCATAGAAGAAAGCAGTCCTCTGGCTACATCCACGTGAATATATTAGCAACCTAATATTTTACTAAGATTCTTTGCATTTTAGAAGGGCAGGGGTAGGGTGTATGCAGATTCAACAAAATGAAATTCTCCCGGTAGAACTATAAACACTGTGACATCTTATTTGAGCCATAGAAATTTGAGCATGTAGACTAAACATATATCCTTCCAGACATCATTAGTCCTTGTTACTGGGCAATATTATACAGATCCACATGAGCTTGAATATGATGTAATAGGCATAAGCACACAGCACAGTACCCTAATATACAACAAACACTCTCCACATGTCCCTCCTCTTACCCATCTCTTCACAACAGGTCGATAGCAGCATGGCCTTCCATTTACAAATAAGTAGAATCAAGAAGGGAGTGGTTAAACAACCGCTCTCAGAGAGTAGCTGAATTAACGCTTGTAGACAAAGTATTTTCTGTCTATTGCTGAACTTGTTTTCCAGAAAATGCGATTATTAAATTCTATCGCCCTAGGAAGCTGGTTTGGCTACCCTCTGTCACCAAGAGTTCTAGGATAAATAGTTGTATAATGTCATCTTATGCTTAGTATTGTATCGTGGCATTTTATCATTCCTCAATTCCATAGCAGAGTGTTTCTTCTCTGTATCATGCGGGTTTGTGATGAGTTACCCCGTAGCAACTCTTGTACTCGCTTCATTGGAGTTCCTCCCCATGATTTATATTTTCAGGACTGCAGCTGTCTTGCGAGCCAAGCTGTCCTGCTGGGGATACTGCTCAAAAGAGAAGGCCCCAACTTCATCACAAAGGAAGGTAAGAATACATGTCTAGGAGAAAATTTTAAATGGTAGGACCTCTCTATTCTTAAACATATATCAATGTGCATTAAAAAAAATCCACTAAAATGTTACAATTTATTTTCTCCTCCATTAAAGCTTTTATTTTTTTACTTTTGAATGGAAAACATTCATTCGTGCCCCCTAGAATGGGGTGGACTGATGTATGAGCTGCTAAATGCCTTTCATGCAGTGATGCCTGACTGTTTCTTTGACTGTCGGAACGTTGTTGGAGCCTGTGACTGTTAACCTCTGATGAATTCCATAGTTGTTTAAGGACAATTTCTGTTTCCAGTTTTATTTTCTGTACGTTTTCCAGAATAATATTGAATTTTTATGTCTATAAAAATTAGCTTCCTTATAATCTGAAGCAGCCATTTGGAATGGAACATGGCATTTAATAGAATTGTGCTCTGAAGATGGTTAATAAAAATAAATCATTTCTAATCATGTCTGTGTTCACTCTGCATTAAGGATGAAACCCATTTATCCCCCAAATTCACACCTGTATGTTGAGTCACAACTGTAAGGAATCCTTGAGTTGTTCTACATCGTGGTCTGCTTCTGGCATTTTATAATACAGGATAATATAGAATACATTTCAAGTAGTTAATGTCTAGCTACTCAAAGTTTCCTGGCTCATCTGAAAATACTCTCTTCAGAGGTGCATGTTGATTTCGTTAAATTGAAAATTGAGTCAGAGTCCTAAACAGCACTGTAATTAATAATATATGTAGTTCTGGTAATGAACTGAACATAATTATTTATTCAAATGAGGTCTAGTTTTTGCATTATTTTAGCTGAGAGATAACCTTCTTGAGTTTACATGTAAATTAATTTTAAATTCTTAGCTCGTTAAAGGCAGAAGAACTTTAAGCAAATTTCAAAAAGAATCCCGTATGTTTCTAAGTAGCCTTAAAACTGTAAGTATAAGCAGAATCTCAATTATATTTGGGACATTCATTGAAAATTGAATTTTAGCTAAAACAATAGGATTTTAAAAAATCGAACACTTCATTTAGGAACCTAGAATTCAGAATGGCTATTTTAGTAGTGCTTTAAAATAAAACAAAATTTATATAAAATAGTTTACAATGAAAATGCTGAGGGAATCATTTTTAAAGCTATTTTTATAAATGAGAATAAATATTCATCTTTTACTTAGATATTTGAAAGACTTTGAATATTTTAAATCTATAAAACCTTATGATACACTGAAAATCATAAGCATCTACACAATCTGAATATAATGTTGTCTAATTTGTTGTAAGGCCATAAAAATAAGTTCAGGGTAAAATGTTAAAGATCTTGTTCTTTCATCTTTGTTTCCTTTTTGGTACTCTTTCCTGTCACATTGTTGATTTACTAACAAAACCAATTACAGGCCAGACCACATGCAATTTGCAACAACCACAAAATGAAGCCCTGTGGTATCTTTTGAGCTCTAATGTATGTTGGGATGATCATAGTCCCTTGCACAGAATAGGGCCTCAGTAAGGTGTCATTGAACACATCAGTGAAGAGTCATATGTACTCAGAGTCTACAGTATTTGTTCAGTTTGCTAATTATTTTACTATATTCTGTTTTTCTATTTTCTACAGTAAATTAAAATAACATTTATATTTGTAAAAGTTTAGACTGCATGTTCATTAAGAAAACAATTGAATTTCAGGAAATAAAATATTCAACGAAATCATATACTCAGACTAAATAGTAAACAAGTGCTGGAGACACTCACAATCTATCTATTTGGGTTATATATTTAAATATGTCAGGTAGTTCAGAACATTAATGGATAGATATGTCAACTCTAATGGAATACAATGAAAGTTCAAGAGTGATTTTTTTTTTAAAAAGCAATAAATGTTATGTGTTTAATTAAGAGCTTTCTTCAACAAAGACTCTATTATCCAATGTCTAGGTACCGTTTCTGATCACATTGAGAGAGTCTATAGAAGAGCTGGCAGCAAAAAACTTTGGTTTGTATTAGCGTCCTTGTCATTATGTTTTATTTTTGTGTTGTCATATTTATTAGCTTAAAGATAATGGTCCAATATTAAAGATGGTTATTCACCCTAATTTTTAGTTTTGAACTCTGAGGTTATAGCACCATGACTCTGTCTACTTTCTAGATGCCAACATTCCATTGTAGTATGACTCTCCCAAATAAAAAGAGTCTAGGAATAAAGATCTCCGTTTTACGGAGGATTGGACCTGAAGAGTATTCACTGGAATGATATGCTGAAGACTCTTTTCTGCTCTGCACCTCCTCTGTCCCAGCAAGATGCTTTAGTTTCTATTTTGTATTTAGGAAACCTTTTCTGTTATCATAGAAGGCCATGAAAAGAAACCAATGTTTCCTTTCATCATAGCAAAAATAACATACATAGAAGGTTGTTCTCTTATCACTTAAGTTGAATGAATCCCAGTAATTATAGTTGTTTCATGAAAAATAACCAATTTGTTGTACAGAGGTAGTCTCTTCCCAGAATTTTTTTAAAAGTGGGTGAGTTTAGATAAAGTTGTTTAAATTCAAAATGGGTAGGAAAACCTAAATGCATGGCCTTCTGCATTTTGATGCAATTCTAATAGATTTACTAACAGAATCTAAAAAATGTTAAAAGTAAGTGTGTGTGTATATATACACATATATTTAAAATGACTTCTTATCTAATTTTTTTAAAAGTCTCAAGCAATATCATAAGAAACTCCCTTAACCTCAGTGAGCCTCCATCTAATCCCTAGAGTAGGGGTATTAGGCAAAATGATCACTTAGTAGTATTTCAACTCTGTTTCTGTGGTAAATATACCATTCCTACCCAGAAGAAATAATGACATAATCCTACGGTTAAACCTCTCAAATTTTCATGGTAAATTCTTAGGACAATAAAGCATGCAAGCCAATAGATGTTGCTTTTTAATCAATAAGTTTCAAATGTGGTCTATAGTGTTATTTTTGGCTAAGCAAACCTATTCTTGCCTTATGTATTACACTTGCATTTTAGATAAACCATTAACTAGCAAAACTGTTATGTTTAAAAGAATAAACTCTTGGAAGTTTTATTTACTCTATTTTCCCTTTTATGGCTTCTACTGACACACGCAGGTTGGCGGTACGCTACGGGGCTGCGTTTACCCAGAAATTTTCTTCCTCTATAGCCCCACACATTACTACTTTTCTGGTACATGGGAAACAGGTAACATGCACAGAATTTGGAAACTCGAGCTGCTTGAAACGTGTGGGCTTATTTGCACTCTGAGGGTCAAAAATGTCTTCTGGTCTTCTAGCGTGTGGGCGAAAGCTTCTTTAGAAGTAGGAAGTGTTTGTTTCACTAACTTTATCAGTTATCAACTTAATTTTCTTCTAGTCCATCTATGTTGAGATTAAGGAATATAAATGTTTTTATAGGTCAGTGTCTGTGGGTATCCTGAAATACAAAAATATTACAGCCAGTATCAAACCTACATTTTTATTTTATTTTTTAAATTCCACATGAATTTTTACTTTTGAGGAAAAAAAAGTCTTACATATTGCATGTGCTATGCTTTAAAAAACCTGTTCTCCCTACATTCTAAGACTTTTTCAGTAATGTAAAAATAGCAGTGTGAATTCCTTCTCCCAACATTCTGGCTTTATCAAGAAAAAAAAGTGCTGGTATTTCATTGTAGCACTTTCTAAAATTCAGTACAAAGCGAACCCTCTAATCCAGGGTGTTTGGTTCTCTAGGCACCAAAAGAAAGACGACAGGTCACATGGAGCAGTGATGGCCTTAATAATGGATTCGTTAATGCAAAATCAGAATACCCTCTGATTTGCTCCCCGTATAGCCCCCTGCTCAGTCAAAGGAATAGTTGGCGCCCTGTTCTTTCTTTTTAAACTGGTAATGGCACCAATAATGCTCTTGGCGCAGCCTGGCGTAGAGGTGAGGCCTTCCTCCCTGGTTCCTGCAGTCTGGGAAATTTTAGGGTTAGGTTCAATGTCTTGGGCTCAGTTTCCTCCAAATGCCTTTGTGGAGACCCAACCGTGTATATTTTTAAGGCTCCCCAGTCAGGGGCCCATTGATTCATCATCTTTTAGATTTGTGAACATCTGGCCTGCTCTCTTCTTCGCCCCCAGGTCGGTTGTACGCCGTGCAGCAAGTCTTTTAAGTAAAGTAGTGGACAGCCTGGCCCCATCCATTACTAATGTTTTAGTGCAGGGCAAACAGGTAAGTATGTGCTTTTCAGACACTGACTTAGTCATATTCGCAAAGTTTTGTGGGTAAGACCCTTAATTTTAAGTCTGGCAAGCCTCAGTGTGGCAGGCCTCTCCAGATTAACAATGGCTCAGGCATTTCCACAAAAGGCTCCTTCTCCAAGCAAAATCTAGTCTTAAAGATGCATAGTTATTAAACGGGCCACGCTTTTTCCTGCTGCACCTTAGCGCTGTTAATTTTCAACTCCTGTGTTAACGTGAGATTAGTGTAGATGCTGACGTAGAAAATGAAATAATAGCTACTGAAGTGCTCCAGACAGGTTTAGGACAGGCAGCGCACAGACAGGCGAATAGCGAAGGGCACCTTCCCCTTCTATTCTGCATGAGACGCTCCTGCCCCTTAGAAACGCACTGGCGCTCAGGCAGAGCGGGGTCTGTGTGCCAGCGCTGCTCCCAGTTCTTGCACCCTCTAGGCCATTTCTTCCCCCGGCTCCTCCCCATTCACCAGGGCCTACTCGGTCACCTAGCCATCTCCAGTTGGCCTCTCTGTCCTCTGGGTTCTCATAATAGGCCTGCGACACTTCTCACAATCTGTCCGGGATCCCAGTTCATTTGAATGTGTGTCTCTCACCTCGTGGCAGGCTGTGAGCCCTCGACGTGAGAGCCTAAGTCTTGTCCAGTATACGTCCCGGCGTGCCCAGCATGGGGCCTGACTTGGACTGGGCGCTTGGTGAATGTGGGTTGAATTGAGCCGGTGCATGTGGGTACGTGGAGTGGGATGTGGCTGCTCATTTTTTGTTTTGTTTTCTATAAGCTTTAATTATATGGCTGGATCATCCTTTCATTAAGAGTGAGAACCTGGTTCTTTTCTTCCTCTTCTCTGGGAATATATGTGCTTTGTTGTGTTTTCCCGTCAGTTAATCTAGAGATAAAATGAGCCTTCGTAATAGTACTTTAACTCTCTTTAAGGGAATCAACTCATTGCTCAGAATTCCCGGGCTCTTAATTCATTAAGATTGAAATTATTTTATCCTGACATCTAGCTTTTGAAATGTTAGAATAATAAGCTATTTTTCTGTAATATTTAATAACAAAAATAATAAACTGAGAAAAAGTTCAATCATTTTTCATATATGTTATTTTCTCTGTTTTCTCCAAATTATTGAGAGGTAGAATTTTCATCCCCATTTATCAGCTAAAACAGACCAAAGTACAGGAAGTAACTTGTCTAGTGCCTTCCCCCACCAGAATTCTTACTCTAGCCACAGAGTCTTGTGTTTTTGCCCTCGACCAAGCTACCTCTGAAAGAAAGTTAAACAGGCTTTGGGAAGCTATTTTTCTTGGGTTTTAGGTCCCCGTAACACTTCTGAAATAGAGTTAATTCTACTGCCTGTGAACATTCAGAAGGTTTCGGAGATCTTTGAGGTCACTGGCACCTGACACTAGGAGGGTTAGGGTTGGTCACATCCATTCTGTACAGTGTCTAGAGAGGGCTTGCAGCCTGTGGTCCTGAGACCCTGCCCCCATGTCCTGGAAGCTTCAGAGCCTGCCTGAGGCTGTGCCTGGACCATTGCCCATCAGACGAACGCGTCTCCCACGGTAACGGCCACTTGCAGAGCAGGGTAAGCCTGGGAGGCCAGTAGCTCAGCTTCCTGACCAAATGCATGACGTCCGTTCATTGGCAGCACCTTGCCTCTTTACAAAAAAATGAGAACGGAGCATTCAAAGTTCGCATTTGTACCTTTATGAAATGCTGCCCTGAGGACTGAAGTAATATTGTTTCTGCAAAGTACATTCAGAGCACCTCAAGCTCTCTGGAATCAAACTGTGGTTTAGTCATCTTAGGTTCCAGAGGCAAGGATATGCCTTCTGTTTGTTTTCTTCTTTACACACTGACATTTTAATAAAAGGAATCACACTCGGACTAACTGGTTGGTACCACTTATGAGCTAATAAACCAGCAGTGCAGTTTTCACTGCATGGCAAGAGACCCCTGTTCTGTCCCCCCCGAAAAACACAAGTGCCCTTTCGCATGCTGTTCTTTTCCTGCCTCTTACAATTATCACTGCGCGTGGAAAAGAGAGGGAAGGAGGTGAGGAGGTGGGATGGGCTGCAGAGCCCTCCGAGAGGCACAGTACCGGGATAAAGGAGAGAAAGACACCAGAGTGTTCCTCTTGCCAGCCTGAGCGGCACTTTTCTGCTTTGGGTTTTCCTTGCCACTTCCCTTTGTGCTTTCTCCTTCCCCAGGCTTGTGGGCAGCCTTGTCCCTCCCCTCCCCAGGTGAGAGATCTAGCACCACGGATTTCAGCCGTCCTGCCAGGAAAAGTGAGGGCCACACAGAACTCTGTGACCTTGCCTTTGAAAGGCTGCAGTATTGCCAAAGAGCAAAAGGTTCTGCCTGAGAAACTATGAAAAACCAAAGAGTGTATCTTTCATATGCTGAATTGTGTAGACTGTGCAGTAAAGTAAAACTACTCAAGGTATTCTGGTTTCTCTGGGGAGTTTCTAGTACTAAAGTTATTCAGAATAATTTTATCTTAATACTTATTTATATTCCTTCCCTGCTTTTATCCACTCACCCCCACTCCCCTAACCGGGACCCTCACCTGCCCTGATATTTTAGACTAGACTGTGAACCATCTTGAATTCCGGTGGGAGTCACGCTTTGAAAGCCATTTTAATAAATACCAGGAACAGTTATTCTACCTAATTCCCAGCTTGTATAGAGTAATTTCAGCCTGCCAGTCATCCTGAGCCTTGAATTTTTTTTTTTTATCTTTTAGCAGCTAGGAGATTTTTACAATAAAATTCTGCCACTCATAGGTAACTCTGGGTGCCTTCGGCCATGAAGAAGAGGTTATCTCTAACCCTTTGTCTCCGGGTGTGATTAAGAACATCATTTACTATAAGTGCAACACCCACGATGAGAGAGAAGCGGTCATCCAGCAGGAACTGGTCATCCACATTGGCTGGATCATCTCCAACAACCCCGAGTTATTCAGGGGCATGCTGAAAATACGGATCGGGTGAGTAAAGGGCTTTGCGCTTGCATACAGAGAACTGTTTGCGTTGTCCTCCCGCAGACTGGGCCTCTCTAAGCGAAGCGATGCTCCAGGTAGCTGGTGTGTATTTAGAAAAGTGCATCTTTCCCCAAACCACGGAGGCAACTTCTGGTGGTATGAAGAAATAAATGCTGGTGGCCTGCAAGAGTCCTCACGTTTGTGGAACTCCCAAGTCAGACATCGTGAGAGCAACTCTGTTCTCTGGTAAAACCAGACTCCAGGGATTGCAGCAGCTGCACCATGTAAAGCACTAAGCACAATACTTGTAAACGTCCCTATAAATAAAATGAATAAACCTTAAGAGAAGAAGGATTTTCAGTAAAACTAAGTGACAAGAGGACACACTCAGATAAAAATTTAGTAGTTTTAAGAATATTCTGCATCATTTTCTACCAAATTCTAATTTTTAATTTTTAATATTTTAAGTGTTCTTTTTGGAGAAAGGGTTGAAAGTAAGGCTCCGGTGATCTTGAATCTTCTTAAACAGGAATCTCATGAGGCAGCGTGGCACAGGGAGAGTTGGCTAGGCTCTGGCGTCGAACGGCTGAGTCCCGCTTCTGACCGCCCTCGATCGTCTCGGGAACCTGGGACAAATGCCCGCGCCTGTCTAGCCTCACTTTACTTCCAGCCTCTTTGTTTTACGTGAAAATGAAATGAGACATGTTTTAAAAGCCTATGACAAGCTAATGAAGTATAAACATTTCTTTTTAAAATATATTTTTAATTGTATAAGTATCATGTGAAAATGTCCTAATTGCAAAGAGTCAAATGATAACCTGAGCATATAGAGTAACATAAGGTGGCAAATTTGGGGGGTGCTCCTCAAGTGTTTGCAGAGAACATAGATTGTCTGTTGGGTGCAAATATATAACGTGCATGTGAGTGAGTGTGAGTGTATATAGCTTGCTAACTATACAATTGGATTTTCTGTTCTACTTGATACTTGATTAATGAAAGTCTTAATAATTTCTCATTATAATTATGGATGTGTCAATTTCTCCTTGCATTTTTATCAGTTTTGCTGTATATATTTTAAAACTTTGTTGTATCCATGTTACTTCATAGCTTTTGTCAATATAGCTTTATGTCATGTATTGCTTTACAGCTTTAAAAAGAAATTTCAAACATCTACAATATAGAGACCAGTATAATAGAGCCTTGTGTGCCCATACTGTCACCTGGCTTCAGCAACACCGTCATATGGCCAATCTCATTTCACCGGTACCCTCGTCTGCTACCTTCCCCACCCACACCCCGCCCTTGATCTTTTAAGGCAAATCTGTTATATCATCTAATCTGTTGCTACTTCAGTGAGTATCTCTAAAAGATAAGGACTTTTTAAAAACATAACCAGGATACCATTACCATGCATTAAAAAAAACAATTGAATTACCTTTTGTCTAATGTTACTGTCATGCCTGCTTTCTGTATCTGTCCTTATTAGCTTGGTATACTGTCTTCTACCTCTTTGCATTCAGTATTCTTTTATAATTTTCTGTGTGTATGTGTGTGTGTGTATATATATATTATTTATAATCAGCATGTATGCTGAATTTATTTTTAATATAATCTTAAAATGCCTTTTTTATTTTGATAAGAAGCACATAACATAAAATTTACCATCTTGACCATTTTTAGGTGTACAGTACCATAGTATTAACTATTTAATAAATGCATATTATCTTTTAATAGAAATATATTTCATATTTATGCTATTTCTTTTACATGTTGACTTATTCCTGCATTCTTTTTCATGTTTTTTATTGACCATGCTTTTTGGTTACTGTTTTCCTTTTCTGTTAATTGTTGGTTCAATTTCTCTTTCATTTCTTATTTTTAATCTTACATGTGAATATAAAAAAATTACTCTGAAAAATTACTATCCATGTCTTCCTTCAAAATTACATGTAGAAAACTCATTGCTTATTTGGCAGTATCTGCATACCTCTTGATTTATCAGTTCTCACCCTAGGAATTTACAGTAAGACTCACACAAGTACATGAGGACATATTTTGCAGCAGTCTTCATTTCAGCGCTGTTTAAAATAGTGAAACGTTGGGAATGACCTAGGCATTCATCGGTAGGAAACAGTTTGGGTAAATGATGATATAACCATATAGTAAAATGCTACGCAGCCCTGACAGTGAACAAGATGAAGTTCGATATACTGATATTTATAAATGTCCAAGATAGATTAAATGAACAAAGTAAATCGTAAATGTATTATTCCACTTCTTATAAAGGAACAATAATAATACCATACCTATATGTGTGTAATGGATGTGTGGAGAGTATCTGAGAAATATACATCAAATTGGTGTTGATTATTTGCTTTAGGAGATTTCTACTTTCTAAGCTATATTTTTCAGTTTTAGTTTAGCTTATTATTTGCTAAATGATTTGCCTGATTTCAACTATAGCATATTTCAAGTGAATTTCCCATTCTTTATCTCCCCTTTTTTTTGATTGAAAGTAAATTACTGTACCGGCATAGAACTTGGCCTTCATTTTTATCCCTTAAAATTGTTTCTTTCAAAGATTCAGAGGTATTCCAAATCAATTATAAGAACTTTGAATTATATCCTGATTTGTTTGATCTTGGTTTGCTCTAATATTTTCAACTCCAACCTCCTGACTACATATGAGGGTACAGAAATGGGTCTTTTCATGTGATTTGACTCTAAATGAAAAGAAATGTGATTCTTTCATACATGGTATGAAAGTACTGTATTATAGTCACAGACTCAGGCATTTCTCTGAGACAGAATCAGTGTAGATCATAACTCTTTGAAAGCACAATCTTTGTGATAAATGTTTTAGTCGGGAGAGCCTCTTCAAGTGGTAGTCATCCTTGCCAAGGCTCAAACCAAGCCTTAGAGTAAAGGTAAACAGTTTCCCAAGATTTTACACTGCTATGTTTTTCAGTCTCTAGTAGTTTTTCCTTTACTGCTTATTCAGCATTTCGGCTAATTTATGTCTTCTCACAAATTCCGTGTAATTTCCTTTCTTGAATTCAAATCTGACCTGAAGCTTCTTTCTATTAATGGGAGTGTGTGTTTAGTTTATTCTAAAAATAGCTTTCTTCCTGTTCTGATAGGTGCTATTCTATATGTTCAATGCCTTTCAGGAGACTCACATACACTTTTTCCTTAAACTATGTGTCACCCAAAATAAAAATGTCAGGAGGCAGCATGTAACTTAGTGTTTAACAGTAGCAGAAGAAATTTGCTATGAAACCTTAATTATTCACTGTTCTGGAATTTATTCTGGACCTGCGACGTTATATTCTCATTGTATTAATAATGTCCTTGTATGTTGGGATAGTGGTGAGCATAGCCGCCTGCCATTACCAAGGTCCCTGCCCAACTCATCATGCACGTTCCTTCTTACGCAGGTCTCACTGGGTCAGCTCTCATCACTGGAACATTTTTAGTTGGGGAGCAGTTGAATATTTTTTAATGAGGAGTGATTTATTTAAGAAATTTACTTCTGCTAAGGACAGGGACTAGATCTTGTATTACTTCCTATCTGTATCACAGTCTAGCTCATCGGAGATGCTCAACAAATATTTGATTGATTAATATATAGGATATAAGCAGGGTCATGTGACTTGCTTTGAGGTAGTGATGGGGAAGTTAGGAAAACAAAAGATAGCATGTCTCTGTACTCTTAGAGAAGTAAAGGACTCCTTTGATTTTGATAAATGCACATGGTTTGTGACACATGATACTGGAATTAAGTGTAAAAGAAGATTTAAGTCACATCCTTCAGGAAATGACCAAATTAAATAGGGTCTTGTTTATATGAAAAGTCTGGTCATACATATAGAAGATGTCAGGATGTAGCACTTTTCTCCATTCATTTACTAATGGAACGGTGCAGTTACTCACATCAGAGTATAGGACAGGTTGCCTTAGAATGGATGTCTCTCAGCAGTGTTTTCAGTGAAGATCTAAGAGGAGACAAGTATGAATAACACGTGGTCATTGCACTCAAAAGATGACGCTAGTAAACCATCCTCCTCCCCTTGCTCCATCGTCATAACCACAGATACTATTTGTTGCATGTCTGTTCCGTGCTAGGCAATGTGTAAAACATTCTTCACACATATTGCCTGATTTAATCCCTGCAACAACGTTGAGGTAGGCACTATGACCCCCATTTTACAGTAAAGACACTGAGACTCGAGAGCGTAGGTGACTGCAAAAGTACTGAGATTTACACCCAGGTCTTCCTTACTCCAGGGTTCTTGGTCTTCAGTCCTCAGTACTTTCTGCATGTTTTGCTCCTGTGTACTGTTGCCATTATCTCCCAGAAACAGGCTTCAGTGTGTATTTCTAGAACCTCATGACCTCTGTGGTCTCTTCTACATGATTTTGACTTATGATCTGTGTTATATTGAACTATTCACATAGCAGTTATGTGCCATAGATTCCAGATGGGTTTTGTCTTTTGTCTGTCAGCCCTCCAATCTAGGATCAGTACTGTCTTAACATTTTACAGTGTAAGGCATACCACAGTTACAAGGTAGCAAACATAATAAGTGAGATTTTGCACTTTTATTTATCACAAGATCAAAGAAATGAGGATGCTGCTAAGTTGGCCCCTTGTATACTGCAGGAGATCTATTAAGATGCTGTGAAAAGTTGAGAGGTTTAGATCAAGCTTTTTATTTCCTTGTAATATTGTAGGATACCTCTGGCAAATGGAGAGTTTTGTCATACTAACCACACAAAAAAAGTTTTTAAAATATAGATCCTCCTGCCTATGGTTGGATCAAAATTGGCTTAGGAAGCAAAGTATAACAACAGTTTAAAATTATTTATTTGATTGTATTTTCAAGATTGGTATTTATAGAGGAAGCAGTATTTTCCTGAAGACTCTCTCTTGTGTAGCTGCATGGCGGATGCCTGTGTTCCCAGTTCACAGCCAGTCTCAGACGTCATTAGCGAACATGCGCGGG